GATATCAAAAAAGTACTCCAGAGTGTTGTTCAGCATGGGGGTGAGTAGAAAATGAAGGCTAATCATGTTTTGGGTGTACTATTCCTTTAAGCAAATGGCTTCAGCAAAGGACCGCTCACACTAAGCCTGGTTCTGCTGGAGGTTTATTCCTCTTAATCAAGATTCTTTTCCTCTCCACTGTCGCTGCATACATTCTTGATGGGAGGGATTGCTACAGGTGAATGTCTACTGCCACCACATGTTCATCCAGGAGGAGTGAATCCTGCCACATCAATTTCTCAGTGTAATAAGCCTGGTTTATTTAGATCAACAACTTCTAACCAATGAGTCTGTCTGTAAAGGGCCTTGAGATGTTGTGAATCAATGCCATATGAATAAAGCTCTATAAAACAATCTCTTTAAAATATTAAAACCTTGGTAAGTTATTAAAATATAACTGCTAATGTTCTACAGCAGACCTCGGAGACCTTATTCTGGAATGAAATTTAACAAAGCTGTTCATTACTTATCAGTTCTATAACCTCTGAAGGGAGGTGGTTAAACTAGACTTCATGTATCAGAGTAAAAAGTTCTTAAAAAAATGTAACTCAGTTTTTTTTTTTTTTATTGTTTAGGTTTTTTTTTCTTCACAGTTATATGCTACTCTTATTTGGCCTTTTTACATAAAATTGCCATAAAACGTCAAAGCCAGATCTTAAAAAATCTCCAAGATCTTTTTAACTGAAAAGGTCTGATTTTTTGTTTGATTATTCCCGGAAACATGTTTTATAATGGGAATCATGGTAACAGTAATTTTTTTTTTTTTGCATCTAAATGCATATATTTCATATCATTTATCAACTAGTGGTTAGAGCAGTGCACTTGTGCTCTGAGAAGGGTGCAAGCACCCGGTTTAATCCCCACATCCTGCATTCGGGGTCCCTGAGCAGACCCTTAACCCCACACTGCTCCCCGGGCGCCACACAATGCGGCCCACTTCTCCCCAAGGGGATGGGTTAAATGCAGAGGTAGAATTTCTCCAATGTGAGATCATTAAAGTTCCATTGTTATTATTAGTTTCCTTAACCTGTTAGATTATCTTACTTTTTATCATCTTTAATCTCGTGTTCTTTTGCAGTTTTCCGCGTTGACTCAGCAACTACGACAAGCTCCAAACTGGAATTTGTAAGTACATCATGCATATATTTTTGTTGTCTAAATGAAGAGAAAATATGATTGCTTGGCTTAAAAGGGCAATGAAATGATGCAGAAACTGTTAAATATTATAGCGCTACAATATCATCTTTAGAACCAGATGGACTTGGTATATAACTGGATGGTTTCTCCCCTCACTGTGTCATATTTACAACTTTACAGACGGGATTATTGTAAGTGAGAATGCTTAAACAAACTTCTTTTAAAGGGATTGAAGCAAACCATTATTTTGGTTTTATTTACAAAGCTCCATTCATTTTTCTCACTTTTAGGCAAGCCTACCGGTTTATAAGTTAACTAGCTTAGTTTTTGTTGCTATAAAGGCACACAACGTATAAAATTTATTTGACTATCATTCTCTAAAAATATTTTACAGGCGGAGCAAGATCCTCAGAGCGCTGGGCCTTCTGGCTCTGCACTGCAGTCATCTTGAAGAGGACTGCCATGTTTCTGAGGTTAGAGAACATACAAACATGTCCGCTACCATCTCATCTGTCCAGGACAGAACCTGAGCAAAACATAAATACACCTGTTCTAATTTTAGTGTGACCTCATGCTTCATCTAACCTTTGCTTAGACATTAATAATAATATATAAATACTTATCCGAATTAAACAAGCTTAGGCAAATATGGAAACAACATGGCAAGAAATCCACTCTTCTCAAATGTAGTACCGGTTTGGACCATTATGTGGCAGTAAATACCAGAGGAAAAAACACTCCAGTCTTCTGATACCTGAAAAATGATAAATGCATAGTCTACGTTTCTTTTTATGGAAAATTATCTTTCCTTTCTTTTGGTTAGAAGTAATAAAAACTTCTAACACAACAACAGAGAGGAAATGTACCTGAATGTGAAGAGCAACACCTGTTCATCTCACACTGTCTTCATAGTCTGTCTGACCAGCTGATGGCGATAAAACTCTTTGAGGCCGCTTGTTGTTACTTTATAAGGAGAACCAAACTCCCTCTTTTTTTCTATTTGTCTTAAATCCATATTTAAACATAAAAAGATAAACTGGAATTGTAGCTTTAACCAAAAACGAATATACGTCTAATTAATATCTTTGTTGTTTCTCTCACTGGAGTATAACTCGGCTACATGTCATTTGTTGCTCGGTGCAGATTCTACCAACTGCCTTGCTTCTAATGGAAAATAGTGTTTATAATGAGATGCTGTGAGAAACTAAGAGAGGATCTGATAAAGGCAGTGCTCTGGGTTCCATTAACACTAAGTACGTTTTGTATTTTCACAGTTTTTTTAACCTTCTTTTTGCTCTCATTAATTTATGTTTTAAAACTATTTGACAGGATATTATGAACATTGAACACACTCATGTTTAGGGGGGTTCTGGTTCCAGTCCTGTGTGCTACTATTCTTTAACTTTCCATGCATTGCCCCTTCAGAACACTTGAATCAAAAAATGTATCATAACCAGAGTGATGTGTTTATTTAATAATTTAAATCAGGTGTGTCAGAGCAGGGATACATCTGAAAGTTGATGACTGATCCCATGGTTTCAAACCTCACTCATCTGTTAGGGCACATGCGTCAAACTCAAGGCCTGCAGGTTGGATATCATCTTAAAACAGAGTGGAAAAAGACGGATGTACTGATATTTTTGGCTAATATTTCAAATTTTTTCCTTGTTTAAATACATGTATGTGTTCGCTGATTCATTAGTGCATTCAAATAGAATGGATGCCTGTAAGATCACACGTAGTGCATGCATTCGGGTCGGTGGGTGGGGTGTCAGATTCACGCTGCTCAGCTGTGCCCATGATTGCTGAATTGTAAGCATGAGGCATTCAATGCATTTAGTGTCAAATATGCTGGTTTAGTGTTATATAAGCTCATGGTGAATGAAAATCGGTGACCCCAATGCACCTGTGAAGCATGATATAAAGTTGTGGTTCACTTTTATCATAATCCTGACAACATGACCTCTCCTTCTGTTGATGCAAAGGGGTCTGACAATACATAGTGTTACTTTAAAATATGCCTTCATTTTGAAATTCTCAGGACAGCAGACTGCATTGAACATGGGTTCTAATTGTTTTTTCACTAGAAGAATATTGTTTTTAGTTTAAATGTCTGATGACTATAAAAGTTTTGGAGAATAAAGGTCACATCATAATTGAGTTGTTTTAAGTGGGTTGAATGAATCACTGTTAATAATTGTGTTAGATTGGCAGACGATATCAAGTGGTTGCATCATAGCAGAGTTTTAATAATAATTAACAGTGTGATATCGGGTATCGTCATCCAAACCAGCTTATATAACATAAAGTTGGTATTTTACTCCTCTACAGTTTACAAGCGTCCTCTAAAATAAAGAGTTCATACTAACATAACTGAGATTTTTCTTCCTACTTTTCTCCATTCTGGCAGTTGTGATTCATGTTTGTGTGCTTCCCGGTTTCCTTATTACTGAATTCCAGCAGCTGCTGGTTTGTCTTGGGGATTTAAAAAAAAGTGCAGCTTTGGCGTACATACTTTGAACGTCCTTGTCTTTTAGGACAAATGGCGAAATGTTTTTTTTTCCCCCTCAGTTGCCCGCATTGCCTGCCGTCAGTTACTGTGGATAAGACGAAGCATTGTGCCCGCCTATCTTCATGTGTCTGTTGGTAACCACGGCCGTGCCGGACCATCTATGGACTCAGCAGGGGTTCTGTGTGTGTCAGCGTCTTTCATGTGCGTGCACACGTTGTTTTGAACCGTGTCTCTGCGAGCTCTCAGCAGGGGTTTGGTGTATGTAGTTCTGTCTGTCCTTGTTGGAGTGTGTTTGTGCCTGCAGACGCTGTATTGTTGTGTATTCTTATGTTGTGGGTAACAGATGACCAATCAAACAGCAAACACACTTGCATTTTTCCCTTTGAGTGTGTGTCGTCTCAGCAGGGGTTCTCCTGCTGCAATCCTGCTGATTGGCGGGTTGGGACTGGGTTTAGTTACCATAGTAACTTCTGTATACTTTATTCACCCCCCCACCTCAACACACACTAGTATATACACCTAAACATGTACAAACAAGGTACTCCTGTCTTCTTTTCCAACTGCCCCCTTTCTGTCTGGTTTTAATGTTTTCTGACAAAATGTCTGTGTTGTTTTTATCCTTCAAATTTATTAAAATTGCTTTGGAAGAAAACAAAAAAAAAAGAAATGACAGGTATGCGGCTATTAATGTGTCGTTGAATGTGTCTCCCCTTCTGAAACAACTCTTAAAAAAATGCTTTTTATCCCACCTTTAGTTTAGTAAGTAAAGCCTTTAGTGTTTAGGTAGTTTAGTCAAACATAAAATAAAGAAGCAGATCTTGATATTTCTTGCTGAATCCTCTGAATCTGGGCTTATCTGCAGTATATTTATTTCTACTAAGAAATTTAACCAGGAAAATACCTGCTTGTTTGAGTATTTGATATGCCTTGATTTTTATCCGTCCAAAAATCTGTTTAAAACGGTGCTTCGTTATGGATCATTTATAAGTTATGGTACAAAAATGAAGAATTTGCATAGACTTTGGCATAGAGCTGGTACTGAAAGATAAGGTTGCTTGTGCAAATGCTGCATTGCAGCTTTATTAACCAGTTTTCCATCAACAATGACTTATTACACCTGGAAGTGATGGTGCACTTCTTTAAACTGCTTAAAATGATTTATTAGTTTCAATATTTTTATTCCGTCTGTAAATATTCGTTTCAAATGTAAACCACAACAAAAATCACCCATACGTGACCACAGTCCTACAGTAACTAATCACAGCTGTCCTGGATATTTAAAACATCTGTGTACAGAATTAAATTTCCTCCTAAGCTGTAAAACCTATGCATGCTTGATAAATATACAGGTAAGCTTTTATACTGTTTGTTTTATAACTACAGAATCTGTGTTTGTGGTCTTTTTGTCCCTCACTGTCCTCTGGCTTTAGAGGTAACAAGGCTAAAAAATATCACAGACAAAGTAAACAGTTTGAAAATGAATCAGTTTCATGCTGGATATCCATACTAAACAAAAAGAGAATGTATTGATAAAAATTAAACCTAGAAACTCACAGAAAGGTTCATCCAAAAGCACAGAGAAAGTAAAACAGATTTAGATGAGTTCAGTTAGCTGAATTTTCATTGCAGTGACCCAAATGGTTCTCAGTGATGGGCTAAGAACCTCCAACAGCCCTGCCAGCTCTCTCTTCATATCTCCTGTAATGTTCTCCAGACTCTTGAGGCTTTGCTAGGAGACATGTGCCATCATGGTGGAGTTGTTCTACCTGTGAAACCTCTATAGGGTCCAGGTATCTGCTCATGCTACCAGTAGCGTCTTGAACCATGGTCAATTAAAATAACTACTGGAAAGCAGGAACAATAATGAGAAGGGAGAAAATATATGTGGCCTCCTCCTGTAAACTATTCCCTTTTGATTAAAAAGTGAGCCTTTCATTTGTGAGCAGTTTATTTATATCACTAACTCAATCCTCAACCAAACTTTTTATGTAATCAAGCATTTCTAGTCCAAGTGAGAAAGAAAGAAGAGAACACACCCAAACAGATAAGGAACAGGCTCATGTTATGACCACTGAGGGGTGTGGTGATCAATGCTGACCTGAGACCTGCAGCGTTTTATAAACTGCAAATACGGATTTCTTTTCTGTCTTTTTTTTTCATCTTAAGAAGAAAAACAGTGGTTTGTATTAAACTATGGAATCTAATAGATTTCTGGACCATAAATAAGTTAAATTGAGAAATATTTGATCCTTGCAAGAGGGCGTCAACCTTAGTCTGGATCAGATAACTACATGGAATTGAGGAACATTTGGAGGGAGAGATTTATGAAACACAAATATCTGGCAAATTTAAACAAATACAGAAAGAGAGACAAATGTTGAGAAGTTGAGAGGTCACAGATCACAGAATATCTCATTAATGTCAGGAAGCATTTAGCTCTTTATGAGCGATAGTAATATTAGGTTATAGAAAAATATAGTATATTATCTTTGGTAAACATAGGGAGAAGTCTTATTTCTACACATTTATCATGTTATATATATCGGATCGCAGAATTATTGCCAATTCACACTAGGGTTGTCACGATACTAAACTTTTCAACTCGATACCGATACTAAGGAAAATATTCGATACATTTTTCGATACCACAAGGATAAAAACAAAGACTCCAAAATTCAACAGAAATATTTTAATTAATAAATAAAATACAATAAATAAATACAATAAACAATAAGAACAATATTTTTGAGGTTGTTTGCTGTGCACAATATTAAGCAAGCTTGATAAAAACTTACAAAACTAAAATTAAGTGTTTCTTCCTTGGCTATGCTTTGCACACATAACAATGACACTAGCCAAACCGGTTAAGAAACAAAAATAATTCTCAGCAGCTGCACCCGTTACAAAAAAAGGTCAGAAACTGAAAAGTGCGGAGAATTATTCAATTACACAGTGTTTTGAAAGTGCATTGTCCTCTAATCTGCACTTTAGATGAATGACTGCTTAGGTGCCACTGGTGGTGGAACTGTATCGATACTTTTAAGAACAAGTATTGTATCCGGATACAACATTTTAGTATCGATACTTTTTTGAGTATCGATACTTTTGACAACCCTAATTCACACCCCTGGTATAGAGCACCTGCGGACACAGTGTGAATTAGGGCTGCAACTAATGATTGTTTTACTAATTGATTACCTTTTGATCATTTTTTACAATGTCGTTCAATAATCTGATATTTTCCTCTTGAGGAGTTCTGGATAGATATTATCATTCGGAATGCAGAATTTTGAAATATGTCGTTACAGTGGTGGTATAATTACTGCTGTAAGTGGGTAGCTCTGTCTGCTAAAAGCATGTTTTAGAGTCTATATGCCTCAGTTAATCATTAATCGATCAATTATCATTTCAATAATCGATTACTCACTGTTAATCTGATTATCTTTGGTGCAAGTTAAGTTTCTCTCACTCATTTTCTTGATTTGGACCTGTCTTATAACTGGTACAATACGAAAACTCTGGAGGGATAAAACTTTCTCTATGCCCCTTTCTTTAAAGCTGATCTGATTTATTGTGGAAGAGCCACACATGGAATAGTAGAATGGGAAGCTAATGTGGGCTCATTACAAGGTTTGATCACAGGTATTGAACTTTTTTAAAGATTTCTCAAGATAATGGTAAAATAAAAGCAGATCTAGTGTTAAAACTTTAGTCTGTGTCTTCAAGGGTATGTTAGGAGATATGTCTGTGAGTTTATAGATAATTTCTTTGTTACTTTTCGCATAACTGTTGCATATCACTTGTTTTTAAGATTATTCAAACAGATTTTTTGTTAAATATTAAACGCTTGATTGTATAAACCAGGCCTATGTGTGATTTACTGAACACTGTGGTAGACTTGCTTATTTGGTTTCAGCTGAAAGTTAATTTTGAAATTGAATATTTCTAGGCTTTACATTAAAGTGAATAATAAGTGTTTTTAAGGGGTAGTGTGTTACACTGCCAGAATTAAAAATGTAAACCAGGAGTTTTTTCCGCAGGAGCCCTTTGAGTCCTCTTACTACTACTAGTAATAATAATAATAGCCCTTTTTCAGGCAGCTGTTAATCTCATGGATGAAGACTAGGTCTACATTATTTTTTTTTTATATATATTTTGCTATTTAGATTTTTTTTCCATTATAATGACTTGCTGTTTATTTCTAATCCACATATCATTCTGTTTGTCTTTTTTTCCAGGCTGTGTCAACTTTAACAGACCTGTTGAGGGATAATCTCCGGAATGATAAACTGAAGCAAGTTCTGCTGCCTCCGCTTGGGGAGCTTCTATACCTGATGTCTTTAGAGGTAATATCCTGTTAGATCCTGGTATTAAGTTACAAACTAAGAACTAAATATTAATTGATAACTGGCCATTTTCCTAAAAACCTAAGTTTTCTCTTAGAGGATCTTTCCATAACATGAATGAATAAATAAATGCCTTCACCATTTACTTGACCTCATACTTCCAAAATGGAAGCTCACAGTATCGTAAAAAATCATGGTGAATAGTTAGCATGTTTGTGGTAGCTTAAGAAATAAATGGAGGGCTAGAGACATTCAAGAAGATGGTAAGTTCACCTGTAGCAAGCACAAAGATGAGGATGGGGAATACAGGCTGTCTGTAAAGCCCATAGGGATCTCTTTTAAATAAAAGGTTTGAAAAACACCTTGCTTTTGCTAAATAAAAGCTGATGGCTTAACCTCTTCAAACCCAACGGGCCGCCGGCGACCCGGTTGACCTTAAGTGGGGTTAATAACTCAGAATGCATAAAATTCCACCGGTAACATTTTTACCAGCAGGTGGAGCCATTGTGCGCAGCTCCAAGCTGACACCAAAAGTTCAAAGCCCCACAGCTCTAAAACTGTTGTAGCTAGAGGGCTGAAATGTTCTGCATTTGCGGTTTACATGATGTAGAACAAATATAATACAATAAAACCTGCTTCTCAAGAATTTCTTTATTACTGCTGTTCAAACAAGACCTATCATTTCTGAGAATAAAAAAAACAACTTTGAGTCATGTTTGAACTGATGCAGGTTGGTCTGTGTTCTAGTCACCCAATTTTAATTTATATATTAGGAAACTAAAGGGTGTTAGCTTTCAAATAATGTATTGCACATGTAATTTGAGCTTACAGTTCGAAGGTGCTTGGTGAGGGCTCCTTTGAATCCCTCTTTATTTCAAGTCCATTTTTTGTTTATATCACACTGCCTGACATAGGAGACTTTCAGTTGTCGGTTTCTGTAAACACAGCAGAATAATCTACATTAAAATCCTTCTGTCCCCAATGACTCAGGTGTTCTAATAAAATTGAAATGTTTTTTTAGGGTGCCGCATATAAACATACCTAGCAAATGGATAAAAATGACCAATGAATTGGAATCAGCCTTTATGGTATTTGTAGACCCACATCAGACTGCCTTCATAGATCCGAATACCTGCAAGGCCTCCTGGCAAAGTGGAAATCTGCTCCAGTGTTTGGTCTACAGCAACTACTGTTCGGCAAACTCTTTCTGCGATGAACTGACTCTGATTAAAATGCCTATAGGTAGAGACGATGCGGCTGAGTTTATCAGCACCATCAGTTCTAAAGGACACGGATGAAAGGTGCAGTTATAATCTGTAAGTGACAGTGGAGGTCTGGAGGGAACTGAAGGTTATAGGCGTGTTGCTCAGGAAACGGTTGTGTCTTTATACCATAGTGAGGGTTTGGCTGCCTGTTTCTACCTGCAGCTGGATGCTGACGACTTCTGAATAAAAAAAAGATACTGCTCTACATAGACGCTCAACTCACCCAGAAACTTGACTTCTATTCAACTAACGGAGGTTCAGCTGATCACTTTTGCTGCTCAAATCTAAATATTACACTAACCCTAACCCTACTTGGACTAGGGCTAGGCTAAGATACAACTTAGCCTAGCCCTAACAATGTATTGAATAGTGTACTAACACTATTCAATACATTAAAAACATGCTAAATAAATCTAAAAGGATTCTAGGATAAATTAATCTGTCTTAATAAATATGTAGGACACTATTTTCATATTAACATTTTCATTTTATAGTTACGTTCTGCATTGCATCACAAATGAATTTTATGTCTAAGCCTTAAAAATCAAAATCACTCTGCAGGGTTTAAATCACTATATCAGGGTTTATTTAATAAGAAGCAGTTAAGATAATATCCTGGTAAATTGTAGAATATAGAAAGTTATATTTGAAATTAAATCCTTAAATTAATTTTCCTTATTCAACACCTTAGTTGAGTAATAAATTGAGGCCTTTCAAATATAAAGATATGTTTGTTATGTTATATATCTATTTCCAAAGTTGGATTTGTGCCACTATCAGCCTCTACAGCAATAATATAATCCAGAATCTGTTAGTAGTAAAGCTAAAAAAATCCATAAATATACTATGGAGCAGCTTGGCAGAGGAATATTAGTAGATAGTCCGTCATTCTTTTACTACATAAGGCCGTAGGTGGGGGCTGATGTCAGATCATCTTATCCCTGGCCCTAAGAAGGCTGCCAGCGTAGGAGGATACATCAAAAGGGCCTTGAGACAGAATCTATTGTATTTTTTAAAAATTTTTGTCACCTTAAAACCTAAAATATTAAATAAATAGATACTGTAAGTTACTATGGAGAACTGCTTACTTGTTCAGACTAACTAGCAAGTCATGTAGTCATTGCATCTCTGTGGCTTTTCTTGCATCTAGCAGGTATTCTGAAAGCACCGCCTTAGCATCTTCCAGCGTTCTAGCTCCTATGCCCCTGCTCAGGAGAGGCCTCCCAAGAGAATGATGCAGTCATCAGCATGTTTCGTACTCTTTCCACTCCAGTGCTCCATGATGTACCATGTTAGAAGTATTAGATGCTTGTACAGACATTTGTGAAAGAAAGAATTGGTCTCAGCAGCTCAGTGAATTCCAGCTTGGTGCAGTGTAGTAAGTTCTGTTTTAAAATGTCCCACTACCAAATATTCCACATCCTAGAGTTAAAAATCTTGAATCTCAAAATGGAAGTGATTAGGAACAACAGGACATAATCTATGAGGGATTGGCCTTGGTAATCAGAATGGATCAGAGATTGCCATGCAGCACAGTAGAGGTAACCAAGCTCCTGCTGTACGACCTAAGCTAGGTCAGGGAAACAGTTTAGAACAAGGCGGTTCTGAGATTCAGGAGTCCGCAGTCTAGACAGGGGCTCCGATCCGAACAGGAACTGACAGATCCAGGGTTCCAGGAATCCACTGAGCGTTCAGGCAGGTTAAGAGCTCCACTAGTCCAGCAGCGAGCTCAGGCAGACATGCTCAGATGCAGACAGGCACGCTCAGCAGTTGAGGGACAGAGACAAGACATAGAACCAGGAGAACTGCGGAACATTAAACTGGCTCCCTCCAAGTGCCAGGACTATTGGACTTTAAACTAACTCCCCCCACCGAGGCAAAACAAGAACAGGGTGCAATCAGCGGAGCAGAGCCAGGAAACGATCAGGAAACCCAAGACAACAAAAAACCTCTCTAACATTGACCTAACATACTAACATACACACATACATAATTATCTGGCCCTGATAGCTGTGCTGAACCGTATTTAAAGCAGGAGCAGGACGATGAGATGAATGATAATTAGTGAGCGGGGAGGGTACGGCTGGTGAGTAAAGTGAGCAATTATATCAGCTATCAGGGCAGATCATGAAAGGAACTGCTTCAGTAAGCCAAGGAATGTAAAAAATGTCATCCTCCCTAGTGAGAAGAATTTGGAAATGGACCTTCTCATTTCAAAACAAATGTGAGGCACTGCTCAGAGCAGGATCCATGAAGACATGAATGAGTGGCTCCACTATACAGTAGAAGAGCTTGAATGGCCTTCACATGGTCCTAACATGAACATGATAGAATCTCTTTGGAATAGAGTGGAAACTGAAAGTCAGTCCCTCTTGTCCAACATCAGTTCCTGACTTTGTTAATTTGCTCCTGGAAGAATAGTCAAATATTCCTTAAACCTTGGATAAAGCCTCCTAGAAGTCAAATATATTATTACTGCAAAGATCAGAAAGACATATAGTAAACCTTTGGACATATTATGGAATGCCACTCAAGTTCATATTTAGTTTTAGGCAAAAAAACCCCAAAGCATTCGTCATTTTAGCTTATAATATGGATTCATAACAGCGGTCTGGTGTTTCTTAGTCTTCACAATGATATTATTTTATTCATTCACAAATCTCTATTTTCACATAAAAGAGCTTTGCTTTAGAAAATGCTATGATTTAGCTTTGATTGAACAGACAAAGGTAGACTGGGTTTAAGAACAAGGAGTCTTCTAAAGTAAAATGGTTACACTGGGTACTATAGAGGGGGAATAGTGTAAAGATGGCTGAATACATACGCACACTAAAGATTTCACATTTTTATATCTAAGAAACATGTTTTAAAGCAAGTAGGATTTTTTTAAAACCTTCTGCTGCTCTAACAGCAATAAAACTATACAATACATTGAAATTCCGGTTTTTAATAAGGAAAATGTAAAGGATAATAAGGGTTATGAACACTTGCAAAGCACTGTAAAGAAAAAAAAATTCAAAATGTTTTAAAGATGAAAATGAAATGGATTACTTTGAATTACTGCTTGAATGACAAATGGACGGCATTCCCTGCATACAAGATAGATCAAAATGCATTCCGTCATTACCTTGAAGAAAAGGACCAATTTAGAGCAAAACGAATTTAACTGAAAACTCCATCATCAGGTAATGGATTTTAATTTTGTGTGCCGGCTAAACTAAATTGAAAAAGAATTGACCTCTCGTCCTCAAACCTTTAAGAAAAAGAGTGGAGGAGGCCCTCTTTATTAGAAAAGGTGATGCCAATTTATTTCTGCTTAACCTCAATCTCACCAGGGGAGTCAATTAAGTAATAGATTTATATTTACATGACTGATAGATAACCTTTAAAACTGAATCAGCCTATTACAATTTTAACTTTTCCAAAGCTGAAAAATAGGTTACATCTAAACCTATTTTATATATTTTTATCTACCCTAATATTTTTTATTTTTTTTATTCTTTTCAGTTTTGTTGTTCTCTGTGGGATCAACTGTTCACCTTATTAAAATGTTTTTGGCATTTATGGTAAATCAAAAAAAATTATTTTACCCTTCCCAGGACAGTATAAACATTGAATTAAATTTTGTTTTATGTTAAAATTTATAGTATATTGTAATATATATAAGCCAAGTAGTATTGGAGAAACCTGTTTCATTTATTGAAGGAAACCGTAAATGTCATTATGTGCTGTGAA